TCGGGCGGCCCCTGCCGGCACGCGGACGCCCTCCTGGGCGTCCTGCTCTTCCTCCTCTTCTGCCCGCTCATGGTGCTGCCCTGCCTGGTGCTCGTCCTGCACGTGGAGTGCCGGGCGCGGCGGCGCCAGCGCTCGGCCAAGCTCGACCACGTGGTCCTGGCCATGGTGGCCGTCTTCCTGGTGTCCTCCATCTACCTGGGCATCGACTGGTTCCTCTTCTGGGTCTTCCAGATCCCGGCGCCCTTCCCCGAGTACGTCACCGACCTGTGTCTCTGCATCAACGCCAGCGCCAAGCCGGTCATCTACTTCCTGGCCGGCAGGGACAAGTCGCAGCGGCTGTGGGAGCCGCTCAGGGTGGTCTTCCAGCGGGCCCTGCGCGACGGCGCCGAGCCGGGGGAGGCCGGGCGCGAAGGCCCGCCCAACACGGTCACCATGGAGATGCAGTGCCCCCCTGGGAACGCCTCCTGAGGGGCCGGCGCCTGGGGCGCGGGGGCAGGGAGTGGCCCCAGGACCCTCGTCTCGGCCGGAACCGGCGGCTTCCTCCGTGCCCACAAGGGAGGAGAAAGGTCTGTGTCCAGGCCCTCGTGCCTCCTCCTCCTCTCTGGGCTGGAGGCTCCAGGGGTGGCCGAGGCGCAGAGCAGCCTCCTGCGGACAGACCCCGTGACCCTCGCCCGGCTCCCCTGGGCGTTCCGCTCCTTGGATGACCCAAGCGGGGGCGCCACCCCTCTCACCCAGGCTGGTCAGTAAAGGGGAGGAAGTGGCCACCCAGCTCCGCCCACCTCCGCCTCTTGGATCAACCGTCCTTGAACATGAAGCAGCTGGCACCGCCTCCCACCGAGCCAGTAACCTCATCCCCCCAGGGGGCTGTTCTCAAAATTCTATCCTCAAGGTGACATCGGTGAACAAGCCTGGACAAAGCGGGACTGCCTGGAAGAGGCGTCTGGGTAGCATGACTCGTAGCTGTGTCTTTCCACAAACAATGCCCCTGCCCCCTTGATGAATCGTTTGGTGACTTTCATGGTGGGGTGTCTGGTCGTGGTGAGCCACCGGTGACGGGACAGACCTTGGGCTTCTTCGGAGAGGTGACTATCTCCTCTGACTCCGTGCCGGGCCAGTCCTGGGCAGCTTCCTGGAGCACTCGATGTGTCCCCAGGCCATTGCAGACCATCCAGGCAGCTCCTGGACGGTCTCTTGGGTCCAGTTCCCACCCGCAAATGGACTGTGGCTCTATTCTGGCCACCCGGGGACTGGCACTGTGGCACCCACCTGCAAGCCCAGTGGGCCAGTGTCGCCAAAGAAAGTTTTATAAAAGACAATAAAATGTATAGCAATAAACATTTTATATCTTGCAGCGAGGACGCCATCGCGTCCACTGTCCTCCCTGGGTCTCTGTTTCCCACGGTGAGGATGCCGGAGGGCCCCAGAGTCCCTGGTCGGACAGTGCTCCCACGCCAGTGCTCCTGCCCACTCTGGCCTCCTCCTGTGGCCAGGTCTGCCCACCCTGTCCACTCCGCTGCCAGAAAGAGCCATGGTCACTAGGCTACCCTCTGTTGTCATATGCCCGTGCCCGTTCCCGCCTGGTCCACTGCCCCAGGGACCTCAGTTCTTGCCTTTTCCAAGCCAGGAGTTGTCAGCTTGGAAGAGGCAGTGTGTCCCCACAGAACTCCCTCCGTCTTTTGTCGGTCCCCTGTTCAGAATGCCCCTCTCTGTCCTGAACTCCCAGAGCTGGGGTGCCTGGACACCGCTCTACGCCCCAGCAATGGCTGGGAGTCCTCCTGGGACATGGGCGGCCACAGCCGGTCGGGGGCCGGTGCCCCCCCGCCTCTGGTCAGCCTCCAGAAGAGACCCATTCTGGATGCCCTGTGTCCAGCTCGGACCCCCAGCCCCTCTGGGGGAAATTTAAGGGAAGCCTGCTCACCCCACGGCCCTCAGGAGAGAGGCCAGGGCCAAAGGGCCAGTGGCCCAGGTCAGGGACCATGGCTGATGGAGCTGAGGGACTCTGCAGAGCCTTATGGAAGAGGTGGGGGAGGGCAGAGCGCTGAGGCTAGGTGGGTGTAAGCAGTAACCCGGGCTCACCCGCCCACCTGCCTGGCACCTGGGAGTCTCCCCACAGAGCCTGGAGACTGCTTGGCTGACCCTGGGCCAAGTGGTCCCAGGGCAGGGGCTGCAGCCCCCAGCCCTCTGGCAGGCTGACCCCCAAGCCTGTGTTCCTGCTGGCCACCGCCCAGCCAGCGTGGCATGCCCACCTGCCGCTCCAGGCCACGGTGCCTCTGCACCTCCCCTCCCCACTCCTTTTTTGTGAGTGGGAGTCTTACTGCATTGCCCAGGCTGGACTGCAGTGGCATGACCACGGCTCACCGCAGCCTCAACCTGCTGGGCTCAGGCGATCCTTCTGCCTCAGTCTTGCTAGTAGCTGGAACCACAGGCACGTGCCACCACGCCCGGCTCATTTTTTTTATTTATTGGAGAGACGAGGTCTCACCAAGTTGCCCAGGCTGGTCTTGAACTCCCGGGCTCAGGCAATCCTCTCCCCTCTGCCTCCAGAGTGCTGGGATGACAGGTGTGAGCCACTGCGCCGGTCTGTGCTCCCCTTTCCGACAGCCCCAGCCAATCTCCCAGCAAGGCCACCATCCTACAGAGAGAAGGGACTTCGTGTGCCCCAGAAGCGGGGGGTTCCTGGACCTGCTGGTGGTGGTCAAGTGTGGCCACCTGCTGCCTTCCAGTGCCCGGGTCCAGCCCTGCCAGCCTCCTTGTCAACACTGGTTGGAGGATCCCAGAAGAGCAGGGCTGAAGACCACCACCTTCCACATCCTTCCGGGGACACAGAGAAGCCAGAAGGGCACTGAGGGACACACAGGAGGGCATGAGGCTGGGGCCCTATCCAGGGGCGAAAGCTCCCACCAGCACAGGCGTCCTGGCTGCACCAGCTTAGTCCCCATGGGGACCCCTGAAGCTAGCTGGGGTCCTCTGGGGTCCTGACTTCTCAGGGCCTGGAGAATCCCAGTTCCTGGAGCTAATCTTCCCCTTGGGGGCTCCCACCGTGGCCCCCGTGGGGAGCTGCCCCCCGGAAGGAGGGCACCTCCCTGCCTGGGTCCAGCAGCAGCGGCTCAGAGCCCGGGTCCAGTGAGGGGACAGGCAGCCTCCCCCACCGGTGGGGCCTGGCGGCCAGGAAAGGGCTGGACCCAATGTGGGAAGAGGCATCAGTCCTTATGGATGTGGCGGCTGGTGAGGGTGAGCTCCAAGACCCCCACCTTCCCTGGCCTCGGGCCCTTCTGGGATCATTGCCGTCTGGCTCCAGAGCAAGTCCCCCCCACGCCCCTCTAGGAAGCAAGCCTTTCCGCCCATCCCCTCCTAGGGACAGAGTCTCCTCCCTGCATCCCCTTGAGGGACCAAGCCCTTCCCCTTCATTCCTTCCTAGGGAGTAAGCCTCTCCCCCAAACCCTCCTAGGAA